CCCCTATCCGGGCTGGGCAGAGACTCACGTGGCAGGGAGGAGGTGGCACCATCACACAGGGACACGGTGGGGCTGGGCCAGGGCCCGGCTGGTGAAGGTAGCAGGCAGAGAGGAGGCGCCTGGAAAGAACAGTGGGGTCTGTCTGTCTGTAGCCCTCAATGCTACCAGCAGGCTGGCGCCCAAGTCCTGCTTTTAACAAACACTCGTGGAGTGCCTACGATATGCAGGCACTGTTCTCAATGCTTTACATATGAACTTATTCAGTCTGATCTTTAAAACAACCCTGGAGGACCTCCCTGGTGGAGCAGGGGTTAAGAATCCACCTGCCAATGCAGGGGACATAGGTTCGATCCCTGGTCCGGGGATCGAACCCTTTCATGTATTATACCCTTTCATGTATTATACAAGTTTTCATGGAGTTGCCGTGGAGCAACTAAGCCCGTGAGCCACAACGACTGAGCCTGTGCTCTAGAGCCTGCGAGCCACAACTACTGAAGCCCACGTGCTGCAGCTACTGAAGCCCGTGTGCCTAGAGCCCGTGCTCCGCAACAAGAGAAGCCGCTGCAGTGAGAAGCCCGCGCACCGCAACAAAGAGTAGCCCCCACTTGACACAACCAGGGAAAAACCACACGCAGCAACAAAGACCCAACGCAGCCCCAAATAAATAAATAAATAAATAAATAAATAAATTTATAGGGCTTCCCTGGTGGCGCAGTGGTTGAGAGTCCGCCTGCCGATGCAGGGGACGCGGGTTCGTGCCCCGGTCCGGGAGGATCCCACATGCCGCGGAGCGGCTGGGCCCGTGAGCCATGGCCGCTGAGCCTGCGCGTCCGGAGCCTGTGCTCCGCAACGGGAGAGGCCACAACGGTGAGAGGCCCGCGTACCGCAAAAAAAAAAATAATAATAAATAAATAATTATTAAAAAAACCCCAAAAAACCCTGGAAGGCAAGTACTATATCATTCCCATTTTACAGAAGAGGAAACCCAGGCAGTGAGAGGCTAAATGACTCACCCAAGGCCACACAGCTGGTGGCAGAGCTGGAATCAGAACCCAAGGGGTCTGGATCCAGAGGTCAGACCTAGCCGTTTCACTGAGCCACCCCTTTCCCACCTGCCCTCCATCCAAAGGCTTGTCTCCGGCCGCGCTCACCTCTCCAGCTCGTGGACCTGCTGAGCTAGGATGCGCTGCTCATCTTGGGCCAGGTCCCGGCTGCTCTGCAGCTGCCTCTTTTCTTTCCTGAGAAGAGCAGGCCCCGGGACCATGACAGGAGGCAGGGCTGGCGGGGGTATCAGTCAGCCTCTCTTCACTGCAGCACAGTAGGAGCCCCAGGAGGCAGGTGGGGACAGAAGGGGAGCCAGGGACCATGGAAGGGAGGAAGCCCAGCAGTGAGGGGCAGCTGGGGGCAGGGCCCTACCTGAGCCTCTCGTTCTCCAGCATGAACTCCTGCAGCATCCCGTAGAGGTTCCGCTGAGCCCAGGACACCCGGGCCCCAGTGAGTCCAGAGGCTGCAGGGAAGAGGGAGGTAGCTGGAGCCCCAGGAGCTCCAGACCCTATCCTCATCTCGCCCCACCCCCAGGGAGCTCATACCTTTGGGGTCCATTTGGCCCAGTTGGGACCGCAGGCGATGGTTCTCCTCCTGGAGCTGCAATAGCTCAGTCTCCAAATGCTGGGGTGGCTTTGCCACGGGGGACTGCAGAGAAACAGACCCAGAGTTGCTGCTTGTGGCTGTAAACATTTCACACTGCACAAGGGCTCTGGGGTTGCAGAGTGAGTGGAGCTTAAAATCCAGCCCATGCTCCACTTGTCAGCCTTGAATCCTGGCCCAAGGCTGCATCCATTTGGAGGGGGCACCTTGTCCTAACAGCATTGAGGTGCCATGTGGCCTCAGCTGCATGCCTGGGGGGGGCCCGCTCTAAGCTACACCCCACTCCCTGTCCAACCTCAAACTCAGCTCTGTTCAAACCTTGGCCCAGATTCTGACCCCAAATAAGACCCCACGTCAGACTCCAACTTAACTCAGATTTATCATGATACCAGCTCGGATGTTGGCCAGACCCTGAATCATATTCCTAATCAGAGTCCCACCCTAGACCCTCCGTAACCCTGACTGTGACCCGCCCCCGCCCCCCACAACCATAACCCCATCATCAAGATTCTGACCCTAATCCCAGCCCTGACTCAGTCCCAGACTTCAACGTGACACCAACTCAGTCCCCAGCTATTGCCTGATCCCCCACCCTCTGCCCTGCCCGTCCCTCTGCCTGTGTCTCTCTCCACTCACCTTGGGGGCCTGAGGCCGAGTGGTGATCCGCTGAGCTCGGCTTGCATATCGCAGGGTGCTAAGGGTCTCGGGAAGGCACTGGGCTGAGGGGGACACGCAGGCCACCTGGGGAGGACTGCCCCTGAGTGTTCCTCTCTGGGAGCCCTCCTTCAGGACACAGCCCTCCCTGCCCGTCCCTCTTAGGTACCATGAGGGTCACCCCACGCCCCCCCAGCGAGTCCGCCAGCAGCTTGGTGAGCTTGCTGTCCCGGAAGGGGATGTGGCTCTGCTTCCGCTGTGGGTCCAGCAGCAGGGAGATGCAGTGACCTGGGTGGGGAAGGCAAGGTTACCCTTCATGTCCAAGGCCACCCAGCTGGTACTCTGCAGAGCCAGGATCTCCACCCAGGCTTGTAGGTCTCTAAGATATCTCTTTCCACGTGATCTCATTACCCGTTCAGATTGGCTTCTGCCACCAGACTGGGCTCCATCCCTGATCCCCAGGGCCCACCGAAGGGCCTGGCACTTGGCAGGGGCTCAGGAAATGTCTGACAAATAAATCGAATGAAGAGGCGCCCCCTATGCGTCTCCCCGTGCATTCACAGAGGAAGGCCAAGGCCCCAGCTGTTAAGGACCTCAAGGCCCAATGACCTGGGGGGTGGGGAGGTGGGAAGACAGGTTAGTGCCCTTCCCTTCACTGGGCCTCAGTCTTCCCAAATGCAGCAAGGGACAGGTTGAATGTCTGACGGCTCACACTCTGCACTCGAGTGTTTCTACCTCCCCAGTTAGAATGTAACTGTATCCTCAGTATTTATAGATCTATAAACAAAGTTCTAAGAGGGAAAAAGCATGAGACAACAGCAAGCCGAGGCCGGAGGGAGGCCGGTGGCTTCTGAATCGCAGCTCTTTAACTCTCCTTCATGCCCTTCAGCTCCTCTGGTTTCCCCCACTGCGGACAGCTATGGGTAAGGCACAGAGGAGGGATTCAGGAAGTCAGTCCAGCTGGCCCCAGATCTCACCCAGGGCCAGCAGGCTGCGGTTGATGCTGTTGGCCTCAAGCATCAGCTCCCCACGGGATCCTGTGGCCGCCACCTTCTCACTGCCAGCCAGGTCTACAAAGCACAGCTTCCCCCCGGCAGGCGGTTCCCCGGGATCCACAGGAGGCATCTGCTGGGGTTGGGGGAGCAGGGCTTGATGGGGATGTGGGAGGGGCTGTCCCCATCAAAGCCACAAGGCCAAGGGTTTTCACCATTACCTCCTGTGTACGTCCGAGTTGTTTTACACATCCAGAGGCAGACCCTTGCTGGGTGGCCCTGGGCCAGCTCTTTCCCCAAGCTGGGGCACTCACAGTTTGGTGGCTGATGTATAGTGTGAGCAGGGCATGGCTTCGGCTGGAGGCCTTGTTCATGGTGTGAGCTGAGCTCCTTCTATGGCTAAGACCTAGAGGGGAAAAACATACGGAGCTGGACGTGGTAGGAAGAGCAAGCGGTCACCAACAAAGAAAAAGGAGCAAAGGCATCCTGGTAGAGGGCCCAACCAGTGCAAAGGCACAGAGGCAGGAGAGTAGAATGATGGGTGCTGGGTCGGGCTCTAGCACAGATAGGCGAAAGGGGGCTGGAGAGAAATGAGTGGAAGAATGTCAGTCTGATTCACATTTTATCAACATCTCTCCCACTGCTGTGTGGACCGAGAGAAACTCAGACAAAGAGATCAGCTGGGAGGCATGGCACAATGCTCGGCCCGAGCCCAGAGTCTCAGTGTCCCTGATGCCAGCCACAGTAGGTGCTCAATAAAAATCTGATGAATGGATGAATGAGAGTGGAACTGAAGGGCCTTTAGGCTAGGCTAGGAGGTATGGCCTTTACTCTCAGGGCACTGGAAAGGTCTGGAAGGGAAGCGGGATGTGGTTTGCTACATGGAGAAGCATGGACTGAAAGGAGGAGACCCTGCCAGGGGGGGAAAAATGAGGCCTGACGGAGGCAGAAGCCCAGGGCTGGAGAGGGGGGTGGGAAGAGTCTGGAAGGCAAAATCAGCAAGCCTGGGGATTAGGGGTGGGGGACATTCTTGGGCTGTATCTGAATTGTTGGTTTGCTGGCTCTTTTCTCCCACAAGGGTCATCTCTGAATGCACAGCTCCAGGCTGGGGCCCCAAGGGTACTCAGTGAACAAGTGAAAAATGGGCATCTCTCGTACCCCAAAGCTCCCCTGAAATAGCACGCACCCATTTGCAGAAGTTCCATCAGGGCCCCCAGACTCCCAAACTCCACCACCCGCAGATGCTCCACATAGAAGCCCCGCGTCTTGTTCCAGCGAACAGGGAGGGGCCGGGGAGCCCCTAGGCTCAGCAAGTCTCGAACCTGAGAAAGGAGGGTGGAGGGTGAGGGAGGGGCCTCTCTGAGGTCTTGCTTCATCCACCCCGAGACCTCATGGTCGACAGTCCTCCATCTATTCTGCCCCTTGACCCAGCCTCCTTGGAAAGAAATGCCTCCTTTTCCTTGTGGGCTGTCTTTCTAGCCTTCTCAGTCCCCCACCTGCTCATTGTAGATCTCCAGATAGGAGGCATGGAGAGTGACAGGGGCACCGAGGTGCTGCACGCGGTCCAACAGCCAGGCGAAGGTCCTCTGCATGATGCCGGCCAGGCTGGGGGGTACGGGCACGCCCTCCCCCTGGGGGAAGAAACAGCTGAGCCTGGGGCTGGCTTACCACCACCGCCGCAGTTATAATTAACCTTTGCAGAGCACTGTGCCAAATTCCCATACAACATCACATTTAATTCTCAGTCAGTACTATCACTTCCACTTTACAGATGAAGAAACTGAGAGCTAGTAAATAAAGGGGACACAATTTGAACCCAGGTGCGCTAGACTGGCCAAGTCCCTTCACCTCCCTGATCCTGTTTCCTTGTCTGCAAATAAATGGGGCTGGGCTTCATCGTCCACGTCCCTTCCCTCTGGGAGTCTGCGCTGCCTGCGGCTCCGCAGGGCTTCTCGCCCACCGACCCCTGACCCCTGCGGGCTCCGAATGCGATCGGCCCACCTGGGGAGGAGGTCCGGTCAGGGTGTAGGTCTTCCCAGAGCCGGTCTGGCCGAAGGTGAAGACGGTGCAGGAGAAGCTGCGGGCCGCAGGGGTGTGGCTGTACCCAGGGAGGGGCAGGGAGGGGCGGG